CCTTCCAATTAGGGGTGTTTGGGGTTGAGTCGGGCAGTTTACAACATTTATACAACCCAAGTTTGACAAGTTAATAGATACATAAAATTGACGAATGAAATATTTTTTATAGGACTTAAGTTTATAGGACTAAACTATAAAGCATTCTATCCAAAAGTGTTACAATAATTTTATAGGACTCTTTTGGACGTTTCAACAAGTTTTTTAAAAACCTTTTTAAATAAAGTATCATATATTCATATCAGTTATTTTATAGATTAATTTTGAGACTCGTCTATTTATAAAGCACTTGTGTTTATATGACACCTTTTGAAGATCGAGACTCTTGCGCCAAAGATGAATGTGGAGATCTGCGAGGGTGAGCTAACTCCAAAAACTCGTCCTCAGTTCGGAGGGGCCCACTTAGCCGCAAAAATATGTGGTCTTTTTGATCTCTCTCGCATTTTTTTTGTATAATTATTGCTCTTATCCAAATTCTCTTGTCATCAGATTCGGGATGTGATACGGTTCCGGAGGATGAAAGTGATTCGATTGATGGGATTTGGTATTCTAATTATACGAATTGCGCCAGTTCTAATGGTCGGGAATGTCCAGCTTATCAATTTATCCAAAGAAAGAAAAACCTCATGTAAATACCATAAGACTCAATAAAGTTTGATCAATCCCTTTGATTGATTCGAAATATTTTGATCCCTATATATTCCAAATATTATTCGAATCAAATGATCCCTGATGTATTTTTACATCCCACAGCGTCGTCGAAGATGAACGGGGCTAAGCGATCTGCCACAACAAGGGGTAGTACAAGAATATTCACATGTTGTCCATAGACTAAGGTCTTCATTGTAGAACCATCAAATGAAGTAGCATCTAACCACCCGTCTTTGCCTTAAGATTAGTCAGGCGGTAGTAAAATGACTGCACGTAACCCAGTAGATAAAGTACATTACATTCTCAACAAATATAATCTGTTTCATTATTCTAATCGGGGGCGTTCGTAGTGACTGAGGGTGTCGAAGATGACTTGACGTCATCCTCACCTTCTTCCTGCTTATCACCGACAGTTTATTTATAGATTTTAATAGAGGAGATAACAATGTGGAATCTGTAAAATCAGTGGAAAAGTTGACAGATAAGTTACCCTTACTGCCACTCTATAGAAAACTTAACATGGATATCACACGAATTGAAAAGCCTTGTGGAAAATATCAGCAATGCAGTTCATACAACGACAAACCTGCCTTGAGCCAATGTTCGAGTACCATGAATATGATATCTATCTAGTGTGATGTATGGAATATGGAAATTCCCTCTCCCCTACCGTACTCCTCTCGTCTAGATATGTTTGCAAATGAGATACTTGTCTTGAGTAGATAATGCCACTATCAAAGATCTCGGGTGTTATACGTAACCCTTGTGTTTAGTTGCCATCATTGAGTTTGGAACCCTGAACAGACTGTCGGTGATAAGCCGGAGGAAGGTGAGGATGACGTCATCGTGTAAAATAACTAATATAACACTTTATTTTTTAAAACGTGCTAAAAGTTTGTTAAGACAACCAAAAGTGTCATATAAACATATTGTAACACATTTAGATAAGACGTTTTTTTGTTTCGTCCTATAAAGTATCGTATTAGGACGCTTAATTAGACATTTTAGGCGTCCTATTAACCTATTGTTATTGTAGTGAAATGCTATAACTATTAACTTTTTTCCACCAAAGTAAAACATCAAATGAGGGTAGTATTTGGATTGATAGATTCGTTAACTAAGTATCTATCAACATCATTCATATTCTCCAGCACATCCATTTGCGGTTGCTGCAAAAATGATTCCAACAAATTTTTCCTATTAAATTTTTCGCCATCATTTTTTGATGGTGAATCTCTTTTGACAACCTATAATATACATATAGCTAAAAACAAATACAAACATAAACTCAACAAACATTATATGAAATTTTACACATTATTGATATATACATATAATAAACATTTGTAATATATATATAGAGAGAAGATCATTCAAAAACAAACCGCCTCAATTTATACAAACTAATAACAACCAATCACATAAATCCGAGCGACTCTTGGTGCAGCCAAAGTTGCATTCGTGCCCATATCAGTTTTTAAGCTGATTTTGACCTAAGGTTTTTCATTTTCTTCACCCACGTCATTCCCTCCTCTATGGTGGCGGTTTTGGGGGATACATGGAGGCAAGATTGAGTATCTTACTATGGTATGGAGTTGGAAGAGCTCCACTGTGGGGATTTTGGTTGGAAGGTCTCAGTTTTTGAAGAGGTAAGCTTTGTAGTATTTTGAGATCTATATTTGGGATTGGAAGTTTGTGTTTACTTTTGGTATCTCTTTGATTCAAGGAGTGATCTTCATCTTTTGGAAGCTAGAGATGGGCTTGGAATCTAGGTTTATGGATCTCAAATCTTCATCTTTTGGAAGCTAGAAATGGGCTTGGAACCTAGGTTTAACCTAAGCTAAAAATGTGAGTTTTAAGTTGCTTTGTGAAAACTATGTACATGCCAGAAATATCCATTTTAGAGTCTTAACATGTTTTCCTTGATATTTATCAAATGTATTCACTATTTGATGAAATTGCATCTTTAGTACATTTGATTTTATAAAGTTAACAAAATGCTTACAGTTGGGGTTTTTGAACATTTTGTAAACAGATCATAAAAGTGTGATCTTTTGATGCTATATTGCATATAATGGTGATTATTTGACATTATTATACCTTGGTGTATTAAAGTTACAAGTATTTGGGAATGTTTATGATTGGCTTGTTGGCTGCATTTTAGGTCTCATAACTCATTAAAGAATATTTATTTCGAGTTATTGCGTATTTTAAAATATAAATCATGAGAGTTCACTCTTAATGAGATTTGTATGCATCGAATGGGATTTTAGCGAATATTATTATTTTGAGTCGTGAGATTGATTAAAACTCTTTAAAATGCGTTTTGGGATTCATGACGTTTCTTATTGAATTAGTCAATCAAGTTGAAAAGTTTGCTAATTTGGATTGAAGTTAAATGTTGATTTTGGGATTTTTCCGAACTCAAAAGTTTGTTGTGATTCTTATAATCGTTGGTTGACTTTTAGTCCCATTTGGGTACTGATAACATTTACTTGTATAAGTGTTAAGAAATGCATATCCTTGGGTAATTTGACATTTTAAGACGTAAGTTTCATGGATTAGAGTCTTTAATTGATGTTTAAATCATGCTAAACATTGTGTTTGGGACTGGCCCAACTTTTGGTGTTCATTTGTGTATGTGAACATCATATGCCTATAATTGTATAATTACTTGAAGTATGCATGTCTTTGGGTGTATTTGATCTGCCATGCTCTAATTGCCAAGTTTATGATTGTGATGCTTTAATCCTTATGCATGAGGGTTAAATGTTTTGTGTTATCAGGTAGGAAGTTTGAGGTTCCTATCTTGAATGCTAGTGAGTAGACACTAAAGGTCGAATGGAAACTTTGAGGTGAAACTCAACTAAAGAATAGATGTGCACTAAGATCCGGTATTCTTGAGGTAACATTTCATGAAGTGGGCACTAAAAATATGGTGGCCTTGAGGTAAAACTCGATGGAACAAACACTAAAGATATTGAGGACTTGAATGTGACACAATATATATAGTAGGCACTAAAGTTAATGAATCCGAGATGTAGTTCGATAACTTTGATACGTGGTCTGTTTTTGTACTCCGCCACATTCAATGGAATCAGGTCTCCTCCGTCATTGAAGAATGTATTTGCTTTTTTGGAGTATTTGAGTAAAAGATGATTTTCAAATGTTTCATGTATTTTGCATCTATGTTTCTACCTAGGAAAAATTGTTATTTAAAGAGTGTTCGTTCAATTTTACTGTTACATTTAAAGTATAAATAACTTGAACACACTAGACGTTAAGCTTAACACTTCTATTGTCATGTGCATCGGGTTCTTGTGGGGGTTGTACTAGCGACACTTTAATGAATTGAGTGCTAGTTAGAGGCACATGAAGAATTTTAGCAATTTTGGGACGTCTTCCATACCTTCGAGATAGTGACAGTTAATGGGTTTTAGCAACACCTATCCTTAACCCATACGTTGTATAAGGTTTGGTTTGTAATCCATTGATATTAAACCTTAAATTATCATTTTAGGTAATTTGAGTATTGTCCTTTTAGAAATGAATTTATCATTCAATTGACGTATCACATTAATTTTTAATTAATCGTTTTTTTTCCAAATTTTGGTGTGCTATACATTGTGTATGCTTTTGTTCAAACACAGACATTTTCAACACAAAAAATTGCCAACAACTTCAACATCATTTTGGTTTATATTTGTCATTGCGTTGAAATATTTGCCAATCAACTCTATGATAACAAACAAATTCCGTAACCAAAGGGATTTTCATCAACCAAAAATTATCTCTGAACATCATTTTTGACATAATAGCCAAAATCAACAACCTAGAATTAGTACATTAAAGGGTTTAAATGAAAACTTAGCCTTAGCAACAACATAACCCTACAACCTGGACTTATGGATGTCCAAGTGATTGCAGGTGAACCGTAATCGCAATGAACCTCACTGAGAGAAAGGAGGAAACTCAGTAAGGGAGAAAAAAAGACAGAGTAGAAAGGTGAAAACGACAAACTCACCGAGGTAGTGAAGCGGAGGTCGTTAAGCGGGTTTTATGGGAGGGAACGAACTGAGATATCAAAAATGCCTCCCATGTGAGAGGCAGCTGAGGGGCTTAACATAATGATCTTAACCGGGAGTTAGTGGTAGGGACTTGATCCGATACGATGATGAAACTACTTGTATCCAATCCATTAGGAAAATGTGAGAGGGACCCAATATGTAATTTTGATATAATCACAAGGACAATATTTGTAATTCTCTCAAAGATTAATTTCCAATGGCAGGGAAAGTAGGTTATGTTCTTAACAAAGTGTAACCTGAACATCATCATAAACTACGGTCTTCCCCTTTTCCTGTAGTGTGTTGAGTTTGAAGATGGCGATGGATAGAACTCAGCTTCTTCTTGTAGGGTTACCTCTCTTTCTCTTTTGTTCAGACGTCTTCAACCTCTTCGCTCCTGCTCCTGCGCCTGCCAATCACGCCGCCCCTCACCACCATATTCCGCCCCAACAACCTCAACATTTCCAGGCCTCCTCGATCCAACAACCCCTCGATTTCCCCGCGCAGGTACTATCTATTTTCTAAAGTAATCATCAAAATCTCCATCTGAGTTTGATCTGATTGTAATCCTTATTTATTTGTTATTTCACAGAAAGCGAGTGGTTTTGGCGGAGCGATCGGCTTAGGCAACACGGTCAAGATTGATTTCTGCGCCTCATGTTCTTACAGGTTCCAATCCATTTCCCTCCTTTCTAGATAGTTATTGTTTACCTGGTTGAAGTCCATATTATTTTATTTACTTTTTCTTGTTTTAAGCTTTCATGACTTCAGACCATACATAGACTTGCATTTTATCGTCTTTGGTACTAAATTTTGGGTGAGTTGATGTGTTTCATGAGTCTACATATGTGATTATAATTTGTAAACGGGAAAAGAACATAAAACGATGAGCTTTTTTTTGTCAAAATCTGACACCATCGATTTGGAAATTGGGGGTTATTGAGTGGTAATCCCCTTTTGAAGGAAGTAATCAGAATCTGCATCTTTCCTTTGCGGGGTGAATTTTTTTTTAGAATTAGAGAAGATGATTAAAGCAAGAAGAATTCTGAAATGCAACAGAACACATCTTGTACTGGTTTTGTTGTTACACATGAGAGCAAGGCAAGGACACATCCTTCTGTCTCTTTGAAAGATGGAATGAGATATACAAAACAGAATGAATGTTCTCTTTGGGAAAGAAGTTGGTTCCCGCATGTCTAAATGCTGGCTGAATCCCAGCTGTAGTGTATTCCAAGATCTGTGTTGGGAAAGTTGTTTCAAGGTCGGCAGCTTTAATCTTGCAATTATATCAGCTAAAGGCAGAGATTTGAAGGGAGAGACTAGGATAGTACTCTTGGTGGATGAGAGAGTATTATATGGAGTATGAACAGGTGAACAAAAGATTAGTTACGATCAAAGCCTTAAAAGGAATATAAGTCCCTGTTTGCTTAGCAGGATTGGATTTGGAGGGATTTGGAAATGAGTTCCATTTCAATCCCATGTTTGGATTGAAGGATGTCTTGGAATTGAAATCCCGGTATTTCTGTTCAATGTTAGCAAGATTAGTCAACATTTTTATGTGCCGATGTAACAACAAGATGCTATTTGTAACAAGTAGTTTTTTGGTTTTTTAAATCCCCCGGTGAAATTTACACGAAATACATGTAGGATCATCATATTTGTCGACACATTCATTGAAATCCCATAAACATAGGATTTTGAAATCCCATAAACATAGGATTTTTCATAGGATTTCGTAGGATTTGTATGTAACAGAACATTTGTTTTGTAATAATCAATTAACAAAAAGATAATTTAGTTATTTTTATAATTATTTATAATTTTTTGATTAATTATTTATATAAAATGGAATTTAATTCCATTCTAAATCCTATAAACCAAACATACAAAAAGATTCCAAATCCAAATTTGTCCAATTCCAAAACCCTCAAAACCATTCCATCAAACCAAATACTCCCCGAGGGTGATTGGCTGGAACTTGTGAGTGCTCCATTGAGGTTTGGGGAAGGGTGCATATTAGCATCCATAAAAGAAAGTTCAACCACTTAGGGCTAAATCCATCTCTTTATTGGATCTAAGGGTATGTTTGTTTTTGTAGAATCTATCAAACAGTTTTAACAGTTCGAGCATGATGCACCATGGGTAGTTCACCAAGTGATACCCAAAGGTTGGTTCTAAGGGTATGTTTGTTTTTTCCAATAAGTCCGTGATGAAGGTCTAATGTCTGATTCCGTCGGACACAAGAGGATTAAGTCTGTTTTTTTGTTGCTTTTTAAGTTCAGATTTAGTAAAAGATATAAAAAACTCAACTACCCCCAAGACTCTACCCCGTGGTGGGATATACCGAGTTTCTTTGATTTGGTATCTCTAAAAAAAACACCTACTAAATTAGACTTGGGAAAAAGCTTAAAACCTCATAATTTTATATTGTAATAGAAGAAAAAAAATCCTTACCTTCTCATATATGCTTCTTCATGCCACAACTTTTTTTTGGAAGGGTGTCCCAGGCTATGCCTAGCCTAGTCCCAGGCTATGCCTAGCCTAGTCCCGGCAAATTGTGACTACAAGAAATTAGCCCTGATAAGCTCAGTGGCCACAATTGTTGTGTATGCTTGGAATCGAACCCTGGGCAAATGGGATATTCCACCATATCCCTCCGGGCCTCAACCACTACGCCACTACCCTTAGAACTATAAAACACGTTTGAAGTTGTACAATCGAAAAAGCTATGGTTACGTAGTAGCTTTGTTGTCATCTTAAATTGTAGAGATCTTTATACTATTTGAAGAAGGAATTGGGCTCGTTATCTTGGTAGGAATTTCATCGAATATGTTGTATAATGAGCTAAATAAGAATGAGGGACATAGTGCTACAAGAGGTAGAATAGGAATTTCATCAGATGCTGCCTCTTAATATTTAGACATGGTTTATTGTCTTGTGGTTGGTCAAGCATGAAAGACTAACCACTTTCTGTATATTATTTTTTGGTCTTTATCCTTAATGTACTAACACAATGATATTCTAATTCAAATAGTTTCATGTGATAATAGATCTAACAGTTTACTTTGAACTTTCTGAATTTCGTTTGGGAAATGGTACAAAGACGTAACTTTTAGTTGGCATCATCTTTACAACATGCATTGTGACTGCTATGCGCATATAAGAGAAGGCAAAAGTTAATACCATGCGATGATTTTTTTTCTTTTTTGTTCAGGTATAAGAGTTTTAATAGAAAGAGAGCAATTAAATAAATGGAGGTGAACTTTTGGGACAAAATGTTTTTGTTCTACACATGTTAAACCTAAAGTAAATTGATAGAATCTCAATTTTATCTTAGACCCGTGCTCTCGAGCGGGGATATCATGGGATTGTTTGGTTTGTAATGTCAACTTTTTTTTGGAAGGGTATCCTAGGCTATGGCAAGACTAATCCTAGCAAATTGCGATTGTTAGACATCATCCCTATTTAGACGGGATATTCCATCACATCCCCAGGGCCTCAAATCACTATTCTACAACCCTTGTGGTTTTGGTAATCTCAACTTTATGGGACTGGAATTTCATTTAGGAAGGCGACTGAAAGTGTAGTATAAGTCCTAGTAGATGCAAGGTGACTTTAGAATCTTTCATCTTGTAATCAATTTCATAGATTTTGATCTTTCGGGTTAGATTTATTTATGGAGTTGAATAAAGGGGGAAGTGAAAGATAAATGGTAGCCTAAGAAATATATTGATAATAAATGCATGTACTTCTAGTTTATGACATGTAATCTCAAATCTCGTAAAAAGATACATGACATGTAATCCAAATCCATAGTTAAACAATAAAAAAGGTTAGCCAAAGATGAAGATTGGAAGGAACGATACTAAATATTCTTTAAACTTTTAAAAAGGTAAAGGTGGCCAATGCAATAAAATCCATGATCATATGCAAAGCACAACAAGCATCAAACTAATATGAAAACCATCTTTATCTTGGTTCGATTGACTTGAATCTTCAAAAAGAGATTCAACACATTGGGGAAAAGATGTATGTTTGTGAACTAACATTGATACCAGTCAGGCATGCCCATAAATGTGCATAAATCAACCCATTTTATATCATGTTTCTTATTGAGTCTTTGTGCCTTTTATTTCATAAAACTTGTAGTTCTTCTAGTTTTATTATTTCTGCTTCTTGATGTCATGCATTCTTCTTATCTGAATGAATATAGTCTTGTTCAAACTTAGGGGCCGTTTACCATAAACTTAGTAAGCACTTACGGGTGTCATTTAGCTTACAGGTAAGCATGACAAAAAACCCAGAATGTTACCCGGTAAGAGGCATAGCAAGGGCTGAGAATTTTACTCGGTAAATGAGGAGAAGACTCTCACGCTGTTAGCGCTTACCGGGTAAGAGCTGCTTATCAACAATCCGTTTTGATGGCCGAGACCGATAAAATAAGTGAGGGTAGTGACTCTTGCCGGTAAGTGCTTACTTGATAAGCATTTGGTAAACGCCCCCTTAATACTCCACGGTACCAAAACTATATTCCACTTTTGATTTTGAAGAGTCAAAGAATACATCTTGTCTTGATGAGGATCATAACAATAGAGCAAGACAATTGTTAGTATTGATGTTAATTGTTAAGATCCTTTTTGTAAGGACAAGTTCTTGCTGAAAATGATAAAAAAATTTCACGCTTGGTCGCTTTGTTTATGACCTTTGTTTGCTTTAAACCACAAACTAGTAAAATAATAAAAACTTCTAATCAAAAAATATACTTATGTGATGGTTAGTTCTCTAAGAAGCGATACATAGAGCTAGACAGTTGAGTGGCCTTCTAGTGGATTGTAGCATTACGTAAGTGGTTCATTTAAACATATACGACATTATTATTTCTAGATTGACATAGAAGAACAATTATTTACTACCATCTTATATTGATACAATTACATTTCTAAATTTGTTTCATGGATGCAATTACTCGAAAAGGATGATAGAAGTTTGTGTCAAGATGAGAAAATTCGGTTGCTGGCCAAATGTATTTTGGTCTGATTTCTTAACGTGCTTTCAAAACCTTTATTTTGGTACCTGATATGTGATATCTTAAACGTTTAGGCCAAAATACATTACGCAAAATAAGAAAGGACCCAAGTACATTGCATTTTCATGCATTCTTTAGGTGCCTAAATGTTTGTGATGTCACATCTGAGGTACCAAATGAAGGTTCTGAAAATACGTGAAGTAAAATTGGAATTGGACCAAGACATGTTGCATTCTCTGCAATATGAGAACCGAATCAAACGATCTCAGTAGATCCCACGTGGAGTAGGTTCTGGGGAGGGTGGGATGTAGGCAGAATTTACCTCATACTAAAGGAGTAGACAAGCTGTTTCTATGATTTTCTTCGAAATATAGGTGGACCAAAATAGATTTGAAGTTGTTATGATAGATATTTTCGCATTGAATTCTTGACAATTTATGTTGCTCCACTTTTTATATCCATGCTTAATGATCTAATTTTCTTTATCCATATGAAAGATGTAAATTTGGTCGATCTTTGACAGAGGGAATGCAGAGACAATGAAGAACATGTTGGAATCTAATTTTCCAGGACTCAATGTCGTTCTATCTAACTACCCACCTCCGCTTCCAAAGCGCTTGGTTGCCAAAGTGGTACCTGTGGTTCAATTTGGGGTCATAGGCGTTGTGATGGCTGGTGAGCATATCTTTCCGAGATTGGGATTTGCAGCACCGCCTCCTTGGTACTACTCTTTGCGGGCAAATAGATTTGGGACAATTTCTTCAACTTGGCTACTTGGAAATTTCCTTCAAGGTTTCCTACAAAGTTCTGGTGCCTTTGAAGTTTCATGTAATGGTGAACCGGTAAAGTTACTCTTCATGTGCTAATACTTTACGATAACTCGTGCATCCTCTTTTTGGCGGAACACATGGTTTAAGAGAAATGTTCGAATATAGGCAAACCAAATGAACTCTGTATATCCCACCCAGCAGTAGGGGAATTATTGCAATTTTCATGGAACAACCTAGAGATGAAAATTTCGTCACGCTTCTCTTTGGACGTGCTGTGAAAAATAATTGCAACATTTCGCTCAAAAGTTTGCAATATGAAACTTTTGTTTGGGGTAGTGATAAGGTTTGCGCACATCTTATCCTCCCTAGACCCTACGTGCACTACTACAAAATTGAGTTTATAGGACGCCTAAATTGCTCAAGTATCCTAATATAGTGCTTATAAGACTTAAGTTTATAGGAGCAAAAAATAAAACGTTCTATCTAAAAGTATTATAATAAGTTTTAGGACGTTTTTGGGCGGTGTAACAAGTTTTTTAGGACATTTTTTAAATAAAATGTTGTATTAGCTATTTTATAGGACATTATTTGAAAAATGGATCCTATAAAAAGATGGGTTTATAGGACACTACTCAAAAGTGTCCTATAAAATAACTAATACGACACTTTGTTTAAAAAGGTTCTAAAAACTTGGTACAATGCTCGAAAGCGTCATCTAAACTTATTGTAACACTTTAAGATATGATGCTTGAATTTTTGGTTCTATAAACTTGGAAGTCCTACAAGACACTCTATTAGGACACTTAAACATCCTATAAACCCGAGTTTGTTGTAGTGGTGAGGGATATACCGAGTTTATTTGATTTGGTTTAAATTCTCATACCCTGCCTACGTTTCAGATATACCAAGTTTATTTGATATCGTTTAAAATATCAGACCCTACCTCGTGGATATACTGAGGGGGCGTTTGGTTTGATAGAATGGTTTCGGGGGATTTAGATTTCGTGGAAGGCGTTGGAATTGGAGGGATTTGGAATCTTTAGGTGTGTTCGGTTTGTAGGATTTGGAATGGAATTGAATTCCATTTTTTATAATTTTTTTAAATAATTAAATTGCTATTTTATTTATTGATTATTACAAAACAAATGTTTTTAACATACTTTGAACCAGTATTGCATACAAATCCTACGCAATCTTGTGAAAGACCAGCCAACCCCATGGGATTTCAAAATCAAGAATTTCAAATCCAGGAAATCTTTCAAACCAAACATGGGTTTGGAATGTAATTCAATTCCAAATCCCTTCAAATCCAATCCTGCAAACCGAACGGACCTGAATACATCTTATTTGGTTTAAATTAAGAGTTCAAACACAAGGGCAGAATTTGAGCTTCTGTATGTTGTATGGAATGTAGGTTTTCTCTAAGCTGAAGATAAAGAGATTCCCAGGAGAAATAGAGTTGCGAGATCTTGTTGCCAAAAAGATCGCAAATTCACGAGTCGTAGATGGTGTCGATGGATCACTTTGGTCATAGTGCTCATTTGGGTTACTCCATGTGTTGGTTACACTTGGTTAGGCTTCAGAAAATATTAACTAAAACTTCGAATTCATAAGATGTTTCTTATTATCTTTTTTGCGACTAGTTGCACAAAATAACAATCATCAAATATGGTTTCAGGCGATATTTATTATGATCGGTTTAAAGCATCGTATGAATGTGATTAAATCCAAAGGGTATACGATTTGAACTCAATGATTGGATCACACCATTTGCAGTCGTACAACTTGCTATCTAAAATGTTACGTATCTGTGTATTATCATTGTTACAAATCAATTGATGGTATTGATTCAGATTTAAAAGATTTGAACTTTTGGATTCGTTGGGATAGTTTAACCAATCAGACATTAGGTTTGATACCATTGGTATGTGCAGCAGTTGAAGAGGACAGTTGTTGATTTTTGGATCAGAATAAGGTTTTGGTTTGTTTGCCTTTTCACAGGCCAAGCATAGAGCTGTCTACGGGCAGTACGGTTCGTTGGACTTGGTGTGCTCGGCCGGTTAGAAAAGCAGGCTTGGACAATTATTTTTGAAAAAATGAGCAGGCTTTGGCTAGACTGTTAAAATTAATGTGCGGGCTTAGGCAATGAAAAAAAGAATTTGTACAAGCCCATCTGGCCTGTTAGAAAAACGGGCTTGGACAATTATTCTCGGAAAAGTGGGTGGGTTCGGGCTAGACAACTAAAATTAGTGGGGGGATTAGGTAATGTAAAAAAAGAAGTGTTAAATGCATGAAATAATAACTTACTTTCATAAAATTTCTTAGTATAGCATTCTACTTTTGTTTTTCCTTATTACAGCAATGTACTTTCAAATTATTTTTTATTAAGGCATTGTATTATTAAAAAATCTACTTATAATAGCAATGGGTAACCTGTTACCTTTTAAACTGGTTAACCCTTTGACTTGTTTGCTTGTATGGCTTTAATGAGGTGATGTGGATGCCACATCATTTTGATGACTTAACTAAAATTAAAATTAAAATATGTTTCAAATTATTATTAATGATTTTTATTTTTCATTGCTATGATCTAAAAAAACATTTAATTTTTTTTATTTTTTCTTATTAAGTTGCATTCAAATTAAATATTCTTAGAATAAAATATTTATTAAATAAATATG